GATTCGGGCTCAACTCGTCACAGAAGGAATTGCCCAGGACTTCACCTCGTTGCGGGCGATCTGCATCCCCGCCAGCAAAGAATATGTACTTTAGCTCGTAGCTCAGAGAAACAGTACGAGCACATCCCGAGGTCGGGTCCACCCACGAAACTTGGCGATCCGAAATTCCTGAGAGCTCTAGTGGTACGTGCTCTTCCAAGTCTGGGGCAAGCACAGGAAGACCGTCCTTACCGGTCAGAAACAATCTAACTGATCATTGTGTACAGCCTCCAGCCGACGTACCGGCCACACCCAGCGACGCGTGCCCATTATCATCGCCACTACTGGATACACCTCGCTTGTCAAGTGGTCGACCGACACTCGCTTCTGTCTGGTAAAAGTTCCAACAAGCAGATCAGACTCGTCATAGCCCATTACTGATCGTAGTACGTGTAACCACGGTGAACAAACCAGACTGCCATCCGCATGCAACCTCCAACTCCGCTGCTGGTTGCCTCGCTCGCGTCTATCTTACGCTTCTTTGCGACCGTCCTTCCGACGGAATACTGCTGTTGTGACTGTGAAAGATCGAGGGTGTAAGCATTTACTGCAGGCCGACCAGTTAGGTCAGGTTACGGTGCTGCATTCAAGCTCAAGAACGTACATATCCAGTAGCGAGCGTCGTGATCCACAACGTTGGGCTTAAGCCAGTCTTAGTAAATGATAACATCATGCTCTGAAACATTGATCATGCACTAATAACTACGGCTATTATATTGAAGACGAACTTACAAAACAGTTATCACCAATTAAAATGTTGTGATTTAGCTGGGCAATTCTTGCAATATCTTTATCCGGTAATGATATGAAAATTGGTACAACGGTGTAGCTGGCCATTTTTATTCTCAGAATTCATTTCTTAAGGGAGGTTGTATCAGATATGATAGGTGTAGAATTGTAGCCAATCAGAGGCAGGCTCAGTTTAACTTAGATTCAGTATGCAATACAAAAAGGCAGATGTAGGGTGGCCGTGGAACCTTCTAGAAGGTTCCATCCGCCTGAACTGTGGGGGCGGCACTTCTCGTTTCGCGCGCCCTCCCCCAAGCTTGCGTTTCCTGAAATAGAGGTCGGGTTGGTGTTTAGGTATTTAAATCGTGACGGGTCAGCACCTTGCGCTGAGGAAGTAGGCTTCCAAGAGTATACAAACTCAAAATGAACGACCGTTCACGTGTCCCTGGTCTGAGGGGACCAAGTACTCAGTTAAGCGTACGTTTAAGACTAAATGTATTTATAGGTAATATTAGCTTGGTTTCCAATACAAACTACAAGTCACCTATAGTAAGACTATGTAGATATGCAATGATTGGCACCTAGAGCCCCTGGTACCATGTATTACAAGAGTGACAAGTCGCTCTTCATTGTATCTTGGGTATACTGGGGCACGTACCCCGGTACATATATCTGGTGATTACACAAATTCATGAAAGGTCACTACAAATATCTAGTGATATTATATAGTGATGTCCATCGGCATCGATACCTGTGTTAGATTAACCCTTTCGCGTTAAAATCTAAAGGTCAAAATAAAATATGTACTTTGTACCATTCGCGCCAGCATAATTTACGTTCCGCATGCAGTATCCCGTGAGCACGCACCAGTCCATCACTCACTTCGACCGCCTTTGTATGGTTTGTCTTTGAGGTAAGTTCTTGTCGGTTTGCGACCGTTTTTGCAAGTTAGCATTCCTTCGTCAATCGTAATGTTCGATGTCAACACATAGCCCACCTTCAACGCGCGGTCAAACG